TTCATGCTGAGCGTTGAGGACTGCTGGGCCACACCAAGCGCTGATCCCTACCAGGATGAGCAGCATGAGCTCATTCAGAAGGGGTGAGTAGAGTGCCCCTGGCACATCTGGTCTCCTTGCACCATGAGCTCAGACACGTCTCTTAGCTGGGTGCTAAGGGCAAGTTGCTGTGAGGGAAATGGCACCATTATTGCTCATGGGCAGAACCTATGGTGGACATCATCACTGAATAGGTGGACCAGCCCCACAGATGACCCCCTAACTGCCCCTCCTCTCTGAGCTGGGCAAAACACAGAGTGCCAAGGGAAGGCATCCCCACCAGCCCGCTTAGGGGCTGCACCTGGTCCCTGTGTGCTCTGGTGTCCCAGGCTGGGATGCTCCTCCTTGTTTGCCACCTGCTGACTCAGCCATCGTGTCCCAGGTGTCCCCACGACGAGACAGTGATGTACCTGAACACCATTGGAGAGGGCCCTACTGCCAAATTCAGCTTCCAGATGTTTCAGTTTGTTGGTTATCCTGAGGTGTTCCTGCACTGCCGTGTCCGGCTCTGTCTTCCTGACAGCCCAGAGCCCTGTGCCAAGGTGAGCTCTCCCAGTGGTCTGCACCATGCCCTGGCCAAGCAGGGAGGGCTCCCTCCCCTTGGCCTGCTGTTTTGAGAAGGGTCTCTGCTCTGCTTTTGGGTGCCTCAGCACAATAAAAACCCCCTAGCAGCAGCAGCAGCTCACCCCAGCACCCTGAACTAAAGGTATAAGGGCTTAAACCACCAGAAATCTCCTTTCCCTCTCCCCTCTGTCTGTTGGGTATTTGCAGGAGGAGGTGTTTATGGTAGGACCTGGGGAGGAGCAGGTTAAGGTCCTTCAGGAACCAGCTCCTCTTGTGCTCTGGGGTCTTGACTGCTCCCAGGCTGCAGCTCAAGCTGTGCCTCTGCCAGGAGGGGACCACTAGGACAGCTCTTGCCCCCCAGATCAGGCTTCTGCCCTGCCTGCTGGTCCCATCACCCTTCCCTTGGCTTTCTTGGCAGCAATGCCCCAGGCGCTGGAGGAGCAAGCGGGCACTGGCAGATGACTACAACAAGATTGTCTCCTATGGGCCCATCCATCTGCTGGCTGCTCCTTCCTTGGGAGCAGAGACCCACCATTCCAGGACTGACCAACAGGACCTGGGGGGTACGTATGTCCTTCTGGGGACAGAAGGAGCAGCCCTTAGACCCTTGCAACTGTCTAGGCAAAGACAGATTATTAAAAAAGGCTGCCAAAATCACTGCCCTGCACAGAAACGTGGAGTCTTTCAGGTGTCATGGCCACGCAGGGCATGCTCCAGAAGCCACACCAGCACAGAGAGATTGTCTCTGCGTGAGCCAACCCCCAGCTCCGGCAGATCTTACCCTTCACAGATGACCTCCCCTGGTCCTGCCCCCAGTCAGGAGATGCCATGTCAGGGCTAAGCACCAGGTCAGGGGACCCAGATGTGTAACTAACCTTTCTCCTCTTAGCAGGACTCAACCCCTGGCTCCCTGGAGCCCTCATCCTGCTGTGTGCACTGGGCATGCTCACTGGGACAGCTGCGGCCATCGGCACCAGGCGGCAGACAGCGTAGAAAGTGGCTGTTTCCAAATAAATGTGGTAGTAGCAGAGAGCCTTTGCCTGTGTCTTTACAGAGGGTTTTTTTGGGGGGAAGGAGGCAATGATCAGATGCAAACAGTGCTCGAAAGATCATAGAATCATACAATGGTTTGGGTTGGAAGGGACCTTAAAGCTGCTTCAGTCCCACCCCCTGCCATAGGCAGGGAAACCTCCCACCAGCCCAGGCTGCTCAAAGCCCCATTCAACCTGGCCATGAACACTTCCAGAGGTGGGGCATCCACAACTTCCCTGGGCAACCCGTGCCAGGGCGTCACCATCCTCGCAGTGAGGAATTTCTTCCTAATATCTAATCTAAATATACCCATCTACTTTGATGAGTCACATCAAAGCGTTTCTGTTCCCTGTAACATCCCTGGGACTTTCTCGTCCTCTCCTGGCCCACACTGTCTGTACTCGAAATGTGTACCCAGGAAAGGGGCACAAGAGCAGCTCTGGCATAAAAGCAGGTGAAGGCACGTTGCCTGGGCTCTGCAGGATCCAGCAGCCACATTCCTGCCTCTGGGCTTGGCCTGGAGATTGTGGAGAGGAGAGAGAGTAACTGGGATTTTTGCCCAGAGTCTTCCTTACCTGGGTGGGTGGTTGGGTTTGGCAGGGGTAGACCACACTGCACAGAGCAGGGGAATCGAGGCATTTCTGAAATGATCTCATCTGTAGAGAATGAATTTCCAGAAACCTGGAATGCAGGAGAGGGATGGGAGGTTCCTTCCTCCCACTTTCCTCTTCCCTGGAGAGTCGCCCAGGTACATGGGGAGATGGAGGTCCCCACACTGGGGACTTGCCCACCAAAGTTGGACTTTGCGTGGTCCTGTGTGACACAGATGCAGCATTAGCAAAGAAGGGGCTGCTCTGTGCATGTGTGTGTGTGTGTATACGCACCCATCCGTACAGTTTTGTTCTTTCATTCATGACAAATTGCCAGGAACATTTTTGCCCATCAATACATCCCTAATATAAAGCAAATAACAAACAATTTTGTAAGCATCAAAGCCTAAGCCCGTTGTGCTCGGATGGCCGGCAGATATTTAATACAGATAAGGAGAAGACAAGCGTTTTTCTGGGAGGTGGCTGAAGCATGGTGTCCTTGCAAAAATCGTTGCTGGCCCCAGAGGGTGCTTTGCAGGAGGGACATCCAACAGATTCCTGACAAAAATGCCCAGCTTTAATCCATTTGGAGAGGACAAATTGCAAGGAAGCTCTTTTTTTTTTTTTCCTTTTTTTTTTCCTTCTGATTCCCAGACCTAAACCTCCTGAGTCTGGGTTGAAGCAAGTCAATCCTCCAACAGCAGGAACATCCGCTGCCAGGCTGGTCCAGCAGTAAAGGCCATCCTCAGTGAAGAGGGGGATGGCTCCATCCTCACAGAAGGCAGGAGGTTTGTGGGCTCCCTCTTCACTCCCACAAGAGCCCCTGGGGTATGAGATCAGGGGCTCTTCAAGACCACGGGGGAGCTGCAGCCTGGAGGGATTTTGGCAGAGGGGACATCTTTGGACCTCCTTGGCCAAGACAGGCCACTTGGAATGAAAAGGATGAAGTCAAGAGCCCTGCTAAGGTGGATGATGCCCACTGAAGGGTAAACTGAGGCACAGTAAACTGAGCCCTCGTCCTCTGTGGGGAAGCTGCATCTGTCAGGATCGAAGCTGGCTGTCAGTGGGTGCACACGCAGGCAGGGAGGGAAGTCCGGTCAGCAGCTAGTCCTGCGAGACTGCGGTGGTTTTATCGTGTCTGATGATGTGGGAGATAGAGCCAGTGGACTCCTTCATCTTTGGGTAGTAGAGGACAACCAACCAGATGAATATGAAGATTCCTGCAGGGAAAGGAAGGCAGACACTCAGCAGCAGGAGAAGGTGGGAAGCATCCTGCTAGAATGCTGCTGGCACTTCTCTGCTGCTTCCAGTGGGTTCCCCAGCTGGCTCCTGCTCCTGCAGGAGGGTCTCCCCATGCTTCAGGTGAGCCATTTGGCAGGGCCATGCCGCTTTTCCTATGCTAAGGAATGGCTTCCTTCTAGGAAAACCACCCCTGGTGGAGTGGATGTGGTTGGGAGCCATGACCAGCTTCATGCTGGTGGCTAGGACCTGCTGCTTGACATGCTCTGCCAAAGGGAAGGGCATGAGAGTGCTGGGAAGGTGCTGGTGCCTTAGAACCCTTGGTCAACACACTGCCAGGCTGGCTCCTGCCTGCTCCATCTTTCCCACCCAAGCCCAGGGAGCCCAGCTCAGAGCCGGCCCTGACCTTGGAGAGAGTTCAGGATGGTGAAGAGGTAGAGCATGGTAGCAGAGGTGGTGCTGTGGGTGAGGAACGCCAGGGCCCAGGTGGCCCCCAGCAGGCAGAAGAGCCCCATTGCCACCAGGGTCACCTTCCAGGCCTTGTGGTCCACCTGGACTGCCCCTGTGCCCCGGAGGCAGCAGGTCTTCTGGGTCACCACCCCAAAGACAGCCATGTTGAAGAGGAAGATGAGGCCGAAGTAGCCGCAGTTGGTGATGTAGTGAACCAGGAGATGTTTGGAAGTGATCCAGCACCTGAAAAGACAAAACCGCAGTGCCTCCAGTGGTTCTGCTAGACCCAGCAGCAGCCATGGAGGCCTCTCCAGGGGGATGTGTTTGGGGACACAGGGACACCCTTGTGCTGGTGAGGTTTTCCAAGCCCAGGGTGAAGGGTGAGGGCAGTGGTGCGGATCCACTGCCCTCGTGTTGCTCAGGTGGGACAGAGCCTGAGAAAGCTCCAGGTGGGCCTTGGATGTCCCTCCGTGACCTGGCGGCCTGCGAGCATGACCAAGGAGGCTCGAGACGAGAGGTGGTGGTGGTTACCACGACTGTAGCTGCCGTCTTGTAATCACAATTAGGGAAGCGGAAGCATGGTGTAAAGCTGAGCAGGATGGACACAACCCCCACCCCCCAGGAGGACCGGGTTACTGCTCCCATGCCAAAGGGCCACCTCAGCCCTGTGGGCAGTGGCGCACGCACAGGTGGGCTATGACCTGGTGGTCTGCAGTCTGGATTTGGTATTTTCCGTAGCTGTCGATGATTCCTGCCACCCCCACCACAAGAACAGGAAAGCCTGGAAGAACAAGGGAGACACGTGGAGGAGGCCAGAAAGACAAGTGGTGAGCAAGGTGGTCAGCTTGGGGTCTCTGCGTGTCCCTGGATTTGCTGACCTCAGGGAAGATGGGGCTTAGGGTCCTGCTGAGGTTGCACAAGTGCTGGAGGCACAACAGGGACATGATGTGGATGGTTAGGTGTTCCCTAACCTCTCTGTGGGATCATCTGCTCCAGTGCACCCCAAGGTGTCCATGGAGAGCTGACAATCGGGGAACAAAAACCTTCAAGGACGTCACCTGCTCAATGAGCAGGAGGCTGGTCACCAGGAAGGTGGAGGGTGCCTGTGGATGCTGCCCTGAATTGGGTGCACCAAGCCCATATAAGACACATTTGGAAGAGCTGCAGGCAGGACAGGGGCTTGCTCACTCTCTGTCCCTCCCTGCACCACCCTATTCCCTCTCTGGTTGTAACCCACTGCCCCCTCTGCCCCCTGGCTCTTGCCCAGACTGGTGGTGCTCACCCCAGCCAACCAGGCACAGCTTCGCCAGGTAGTGGCGGATGTAGGTGCCGAGGACTTTGACGAAGAGGAGGTAGAGGTGACAGCCCTCCAGCGCCATCCAGGTGAAGCAGCAGAGCAGGCAGTAGTGGGTGAACCCCCCCAGCACCTTGCAGGTCCCCAGCTGTGTCCTGCTGGAGAGGCTGCTGCTGAGCAGGAAGGCCAGGTTGAGGAGGAACAGGCTGCCCACCAGGTTCATGTGCAGTCCCAGGTTGATGCGGAGGGTCTCCTCGGACCTGAACCTGCACCTGGGTGTCCCCAGAGGGAGCAGAAAAGGGGGAGTGTCACAGCTGAGCTGGGCCCCATGCTGAATCATAGCAAGTTCATACAGAGGCATCAGAGTTGCCCCACATGTCTCCCGGCCCCATGAGTCCCCAGGGAGCTGCTGCTACATCCTACCTTACGATGATGCAGAAGGTGATGGTGAAGATGGAGAAAGCCATGGCTACACCGCAGCCAGCGGTGGCAACAGCCATCAAGGCTTGTGCTGTGGACTTTTCCAGAGCTGGGTTCTGCCAAACATGGGCATGTTGGGTTAGATAGGCCCTGGACCAACCCAGAAAACCCGATTGCAGTGACCAAAGGCTGATAACCCCAGTGGGCTGCTGCAAGGACCCCACACAAGCCCCTGATCTGTCCCCCCAGAGGGTCTTTGGGGCGAACGGGGCAGTGGTGGCTCAGAGGAGATGCTCCCTGGGGTGGGGTGTTGAGTGAAGGCTATGGTGGACCACCATGAGCACCTACCAGGAGCCTCCATCAGGTGATGGAACCCCAAACCTCCAGAGCTTGCACTAGGCTGAGGGCCATTTCCACCTTGTACCCACTCTGCTGAGCTGCTGCTGCCCTCCTGAGCTGGGCTCGGGCTTGATTTTGGGACCTGGGCTTTCCCAGGAGCAGCAATAACTGTTCTTGGACAGCTACTCATGACACACAAGGGGCCACCAAGGTGGGGAGGACAGCACAGCCAGGATACGAGCAGGGGCTGCGGGGAGTGGAATTGTCACCAGGAGGAGGGTGAAGAAGGTGAGATGGTCGCAGGAGCACACTGTCCCCTGGTCCCCAGGCTGCGTGACACATCCGCTGCTGCTCCAGCCTCCTGCCTGCCCTGCAACAGGCACAGGGTGACAAATGTGAACATCAGGCACTGCACCCATGCCCAGCCCCTGACACTGCTGAGGACCATACCTTTTCTGAGATCCCAGAAGACACATTGAGGAGTGACGCTCTGCAAGGAGGGAGAGTGGCATCAGATAATGCCGTGGTGAGGGGCACCAGGGGAGAGATGGAGGGAGAGCACAGCTGGCTTACGGGGGGCAGCTGCCCATGAGTGAAGGTGAGCTGCACGGGGTCCCGCAGCCCGGAGATGCTTGTCTCTCCCACCGTGATGCCCACCACGGTGTCGTTCAGGACCTGCCCCGCCTGGTTGACCTCCTGCGTGGTGACACCACCGTTGGAGCTGAGCCAGCAAGTAGTGAGAGCTGAGTGGCCGGAGGGGACGCCAGCAATGCCAGCTCATACCTTGAACATGCCAAGCTTCTGGATATTGAGGACCGTCACCACCACCCGTGCTGTCCAGCTGCTCAGGGATCGGAATATCTCCCTGGGGAGCTGGATTTTGCCCACCTTTCCCTTCTCTGTCAGGTTCAGCAACCTAGGGCCCTGCGGTGGAGAACAGCAGTGGGGGAGTTGCTTGCTAGCAGTGTCACCTCACTGCTCAGGACCCACCAACCTTGCTCTTGGGACAAATTCAGCCCTTCCTGGCTGGATTTTGCTCAGCAACATCAGCAGGAGCCCCGAGGGCAGAAGGGGAAAACCTCATCCCCAGCATCCAGCAGCGAAGGGACAGAGCTGGGGGCAGACCCCAAGAGAACCCCAACCCACCATCACCCCATGGGACATGGTCCTCTGGGACATCCAAAGAGTAGGAGAGCCTGGGGATGGGCAGGAGGTGCAAGGTCCCACACATTCCTCCTTCTCTTCCTCCTCTTCCTCTCCCTCACCCTGACTACCTCCTAGCTACTTGTGGGGGTGGCTTTTCCCTCCCGAGCACCATTTCACATCACTCCTGGCCAGGGGATGCTAAAGCTGACGTGGGTCCATGATGCAACTGTGGAGCAGGGTGGAGGAGAGCATGCTATGGCACGCCAAGCCCCAGGGCAGGGGCCAAGGGGTGTTTGGTAGGCACGGGGACTTCTAAGCAAAGGAGGGGGGCACATCTCACCTCAGCAGGGGAAAAGGTGATGAGGACATCATGGGTGACAGCCCTGGTGACATTCAGGAGCAGCACCTTCAGCCCTGCCAGCCTGCTGCACAGTGCCGACCTTGCCGACTGCAGCAGCCTGTGGGACAGGGGGGCTGTGGGATATAGGGGGACATGAAGGGCTGAGCCCTCAAACCTCACCACGGCCACCCCTGCCCACTACCTAAGCCAGCGCTCCCGCAGGCAGGTGCAAGTGAGGCTGCTGGAGTGCCACAGCTCCGGGCAGCGCCGGAGCAAGTTGGGGCTGGAGATCCCATCATCTCGCTCCTCCGACTCCACCGTCATGTTGCAGCACCGGTGGTGCCTGTCACCCCGCTTCAGGGCTGGGGAGGAGGGGAGCAGGGTGGCCGTTGGGTGCCATGGCACTGGGCAGGCACAGGGGGTGAGGGCAGGGGTATGGGGCACCACTCACCGGCACAGCTCTCCTGACCCTTAGCAGTGTCTGGAAGAAGAGCACATGGGGAAATGGATGGAGACCCCAGAATCTAGGGTCAGCTTGGCCACATTTCAAAGTCAAACCCCACCATGGTCTTTGGGTCAACACTTTCCCATGGGAAAAACTACCCTCCCCCCCAGCCCATGCACCCCTCACTGCCTGTGTCCCCTCACTCACCACTCACCAGGTAGCACAAGGAGCAGCAGGACGGTGACCAGGATCAGGTTCATGGTGCTTTGTGGGGTCTCCTGGCCACCCCAGCTGTCCCACGGTGCTCTGCTCCCCTGGCCCTGATGGCTCTGCTTATCCCCAGGCTCCACCTGGGGCTTTGCGGCCGCTCCTGAGGCAACGGCTGTGTCCTCATTTCCCTTCTGCGAACCTCATGCGCCTTCCTGTGCGTTGGCAAGTGGCCTGCCCCAGCTCACAGCAACACGATAACCATCAGAGCCACATCGTTTCCCCTCGGCCACTTCCCCCCACTGACAGGGGACTTTTTATTCCCCCTTCTTTTCCCCATCCTGCCAAATCCTTGGTCAGTGGCCCCCACCAGCCCAGAGACGGGTTGGAGCACCCCTCTCCCAAACCAGGCATCACCACGAGCCACCAGGAATGAAACATCTCTCTTCCCGGAAAGGTCCCCTTACCCCAGCCGGGAGCTTCGAGGTGGTTGGAGGGGGATAAGGCTCAAGCAGAGCATCATCCAGAACTGGTGGGATGGGAGACACGGTGCTGTGCTTGCACTCAGCACAGCCAGGAGAGCCACACTCTGCTTGGCCCCACAGCCACAAGGGAGCCAATTCCCAATCTGCACTGTCTTCCTCTTCTGATTCCCAGTCTCCCCTGGTCCCTCTCTCCTTGCTGGGTGTTGATGTTCCCCAGAGGCTGCAGCAGCTCCTCGAGCCATGGCATCTCCCTCCATTACCCCAGCCCCTATGGCACTGGGCTGCCAGTGCTCTGCTGGGCACACCATTACAGGTTCCAGCTCAGCAGGATCCTATGGGGTGAAGCACCAGGTCCTGCCCCTGGGCTGTGACAACCCCAGTGGAGGGATGGATCTCACTGGAGAGCCCACCAACGCACCCAGCAGAGAGACCTCAGAAAGCCATGCTCCCAGCAGGAACAACTTTAATGGGCACAAGTCTGTTGTGCGGCTGCGCTCATTAAACTTCTACACTATCCAAAAATAGACATTCAACAAAATAACAAAAATAGATTATTTCAGCTGCTAGAGGGTAGCGTGGGGGCAGAGTTATTCTGTCTTCACTGGGGAAGGACCCTCTCGGTGGCCACCAGCAAAGGCTGAAGATGGGGCCTTTCCCACCCATCATCCCTGGCCTCAGGGCATGAGAGGCATCAGGGACCCCACCTCTGCCCCTTCCACTTTCTGCAGTCCTCGCTGCCCAGTTGAGCATCCCCCCTCCTGCCCTAAGGATACCAAGCCCAGGGATGCGCTGCTGCCCAGCAGGACGCAGTGAGGTGGGAAAATTGGGGAGGGGGCTGACAAGAGGCAAGGGGCTCGGGGCGGCTGGCTCTGCTGTGGGTCTCTGGGCTCCTGGCAGCCCCACAAGGCGGGTGCAGTAGCAAAGCGGACGGCGTTGATCCTTCCCATAGCCGTCCTCTGCGCGGGGAACCCCAGCATGGTGCAGCCATTGCAGGGCTCAGCTGAAGTGGCTCTGGCTGCTGTTGGGCTGCAGCTTGACGCTGTCAGAGCTGCTCTGCGAGTCAGGGGTCTTTCTCGCCTGCAGCACCATGGTCCAGTACCAGAGGAAGATGAGGAAACCTGGGACAGGAGGGAGGAGTCATAGAATCATGTAGGTTGTAAAAGACCTTTAAGATCATCAAGTCTAACCATTGACCTAACACTTCCAAGCCCATCACTAAACCATGTCCCTAAGCACCACATCTAAACATCTTCTAAATACTTCCCAGGGATGGTGACTCCACGACCTCCCTAGGCAGCCTGTTCCAGTGCTTGACAACCCTTTCAGTAATGATTTTTTTTCTCATCTCCAATTTAAACCTCTCTTTGCATAAACTGATGCTGTTTCGTCTCTTCTCCCAGGTAACAAGCGACAGGATGAGATCAACACCCAAAGGGAAGAAAGGGTGGGCGAACCCCTCTAAGGACCAACAGCAATTGAGAGCAAGCCAGCCAGCCTGCCAGTGACAGCTTCTCTTGTACCTCTTCACCACCCCGCTAACCCCCCATGAAAGGCCTGGTCCCCTTCAGAGGAGCCCAGTGTCCCAAGCTCACCTTGGAGGGAGTTGATTATGGTGAAGATGTAGAGGGAGATCAGGCGGAAGACGCCAGAGGTGAAGGAGAAGAAGACCAGTGCCCAGGGGATGCCCAACAGGACACTCAGCCCAAAGAGGGCCAGGACGTGCTTGAGCTTGTGGCCTTTCTTGTTCTGCCGGAGGATCTCGCGAACCATGGCCCCCAGCATGACCGAATTAAAGAGGAACACCAGGCTGAAGAACCCCAGGTTCACGACGTTATGGATCAGAGGGCTTGTGATCCAGCATCTGGAGGGAGGAGAAAGGGCAGAGGGTTATGCTTGTGTTGTCCCATAGGGACGTGAGTTGGAGGGGTTGGAGGAAGCACAAAGGTGTGGTGCAAACCCAGTGTCCAGCTTAAACAGGTATGGGGGAACCCCCGCCACCACCCTGCACAACACCCCATAAAAGGCCCAGTTGGGCTAAGGAAAGCCTGTAGGACATGGCAGAGGTTTAGCCAGTTGACTTTATCCAAGATCAGGAACCAGGCAACCCATTTCCCATGACTTACATGGTTGCGTTGGTGGACTTGCCACCAATGGATTCATAGACGGGAATGGAGAAGGGGCCATAGTTCGTCCAGCTAGCCAGGAAGATAATCGTCACGCAGAAGAAAGGAAGCCCTGGGTGGCAAGAACAGAGTGTAGCGGTCACCCTAGTCCTCAGCCCTCAGTCCTTCTGGAGGATTTTGTTGCACCTTTCTCCCCATATTGAGTACACACAAACGTCCCCCATTCCAAGGGGGAACCAAAGATGGAGCATACAACAAGGATGCCCGGCATAAGCCCTGTCCCAGAAGTGAACTGTGCTGCACCGACCCCAGCTGAGGGTCTCCAAGGATCATGGAATTTTAGGCCACAACAGATCATGAGATCTTCCTACCATGGTCTCCTGTCCAAAGCACAGCAGAGATGCATGGGTGCTTCCTGCATCAAGCCCATCTCTCTGGGCTGTCCTGGACATTTCTTTCAGAAAGAGAGGATCCTACTGATATTTAAAGATCACCAAACAGTGGCTCTCACTTGCCTCCCTTGCTGGGTGACCCACCCCTGCTCTAGCACCAGCTTCTAATCTCAACCACCAAATTTCCTTCTCCACTGAGACTCTTGACAGAGATGCCTCTGCTCTCAGACATCTGCTCCCCCACAGCCATGTCTTCATCCCCATCAGGTACCATAGATGCTGGGAAAGACCTCCACCCCCACTGCCCATGCCCTCAGGGTATCTCTGCCTCCCCCATGCTCACCCCAGCCCACCAGGCAGAGCTTGAGGAGGAAGTGGTCATGGTAGGCGTTGAAGACTTCGATCACGAGCCGGTAGAGGTTGTAGCCCTCAATGCCCATCCAGGTGAGGCAGCTCAGGAGGGAGAAGTGCAGGAAGAAGCCTCCAGCTCTGCAAACTGCCTCGCTGCTGGAAGCCAAGTGCTCAGAGAGGAGGAAGGTGACGTCCAGAAGGAAGATGGCAACCAGCAGGTTCATGTGGATGTGCATGCTCGTGATCTGGTCTCGCTGCTTGCTTCTGGAGAAGCGAGGAGGGGGGAGACTTCAATACCATGCCTGGCCAGCATCCTTGGAGACCCACAACACCCCACAGAGCCTCATGGGGCAATTCGCCCCTGCCAGAAGAGCCAGGACACCCTCTCGTGGTGAGAGAGCCTAACCCCACAGGTGGGACCACCCTTTACATCTGCAAATTCAGGTCCCTGCAGCTGACTCTGCATTTCAGGTCTAGGCCATGGGAGGTGAGGAGCGACATCATTTCAGCTCTGAATGATTCACACAGAATGAGTGACATGACTCAGGAGAAGACACTCATGTTTTCCACCAGGCCCTTGAAAAGGCCTTTGCAGGTTTCTGCTTGTCAGATCCATAACAACCACCAAGATGATTTTCTAAAACCATTGAAAACAGACAGTGTTTTTGAGCTCCCTGCAGGAGACCTGACCAAGGGGGTGGTTTCTGGAGAGGAGAACTCTACCGTCTTCAAGCATGGCTCTTTTATTGTGCTTCTAGCCAGGCCACCAACTGCATTTGGAGATCTTGTGCTCATTCAGGTATAGTGGCAATGGACAGGATGCAGACAGGGACCTGTCAGACCATACCTGAAGTAGAGGAAGACAATGGTGGAAACTGATGCCAAAGCTGAGATCAGGCAGCCAATGTAGGTTATGATGCTCAGGTAATCCCTGTGTACATAGGTGATTTCCGGGGAGGATACCTGAGGAGAAGGATGAAGGAGAGATGGTGAGGGAGAGCAGCTGGTGGGGAATGATGTAGAGAGCTGTGGGAAGGCACTACCCACCATCAGCACAGCGAAGTAGGTGAGGTGGTTGCATCTGCAGTCCGTCTGGCTGCCTCCCGTCACCGTCGTACAACCATAGCTGTCCCAGCTCCCAGAGCTGGCTGCGCAAGAGAAAGGGAGAGCGTCTGGTGAGCAGCAGGAACAACTGCTGTGGGTTTGTGGATTTTCAGGGCAAGGTGTTCATGGTGAGGCAGGGACAAAAGTGGAGGTCCCAGCTTGTCCCATGCCAAGCACACACACTCAAATAGCACCCTCAGCACCAGGACCCATCCCTAGGGAGGGAGAAAGCTCTTAGGTCAGTTATGGAGGGGAAACCCCAAATCAGCCCCATGGGAAAGGTTTATGGCACTGGAGCAAGGAAGGGAGGTGCAAAGCAACTTTTGTCCCCACCCGCAGGTCTGTGGTACCCTGCAAAAGGAGCAAAGGCAGCACCTGGCTTCACAGCCAACTGTGGGAGCACTCACCGGTGGTGTCCTCCTGCCAGAAGACGCAGACTGGGGTCACGTTCCTCTGCAAAGACAAAACCACGGGCCCCGGTCAGGATGCAGCTGTGGGTTTGTTGCCCAGCCAGCACATTTGATAGGGGAGAACATGGGGCAGGAGGCAAGACCCTCTCAGGAGATAAAACCATCCCTTATCATGGGAGTGGGCTTCAGGCAGAGACTGTTGGCAGTTTGCAGAGCAGATACCTCCTCCCAGGTTCCCTTTTCCAAACAAGGGGTTCAGCTTTGAGCAGGTGCCTGGCAGGGCTATGAATGAGCCAAGGGGCTGTTAACTCAAAGCATCTCCCAGCCCTGGAGATGGCCCAGGAGGTGACACATCTGCAAAGCAGCATCTCCTGGACAGGAGTAGGCAGCACCACACAGTGAGCAGCCAGCACCACACAGTGAAGCCATCACTGTGATACAGCCGAGAAGATGTAGCAGACCCTGTAGAGGCAGGCCAAGGGCATGAACCTGCTGGACTGTGATCACCCTCTAAGCTGGCAGGGCCTGAGCCCTCCTTGCCCCTCCACTCCTGGTGGGATCAGGTTCAGTGAGGCCGTTTCCCCACTTACCGGCAGCTGGTCATGAAAGAAAGTGAGGACCACTAGGTCGGAGAGGTTGGCCACCACCATGTCTACCAGGGAGATGCCAACCACCTTGTCACCCAGGATGTGGCTGCCATTTTCATCCTGTGGGAGAAGAAGAGGAGGCAATGGCAGCATGGGAAGGGAGAGCTGCCAGATGTGAAGCAAGTGAGAGTCCCCAAGAAGGAGGTCCTACGCCTCTTTCCCCATCAAGCTTCTAGCTCATCTTTGAAGCATCTTCTCTGAGTGAGCACCAGCACCCTGGTCTGGGTGGCATCCCTGCTACCCTGTACCACCAGAGCCCCAGGGACAGCGGGAACACCCCTTCACGACACACACGTGGGCATTACCTGGAACATGGTCTGGCTGTTGATGTCCATAAGGAGCACCCTGTGCTCCACTACCTCTTCTTTCTCCTTTGCCACCACGAACAGGCTGCTCGGCAGGTCCACTGTGTACCCATGGACCTCTCCACCCTCCTGCAAGGAGAAACTCGTCAGGAGAGAGGGTGGGAGAGGATGCTGGTAGACCAAGACCACCAGGGCAGGCTGCCCAGGACCCACCTCTCTCTGGGAAGCAAAGGCCAGATGCTGAGGAGCCGGAGTGGTCTGGACCCTCAGGACAGTTGCATGCACAGTGGCCTTCCCAAAGGTCTGGTTCTGCCCTTCGAGCTCCACCTTGGCCAGCGTCTTCTCCAGCTCCCCGAGTTTGCTGTCGGGGAAGGAGTGCAGTGAGCGGGATGCAGTGAACACCGCAGCAGCGGGAACAGTGGGAGCCGGGAACTCACCGCCGGAGCACGCACTGCTCCGTGGCTCCCATGGCCGGCGCCGGGGACTGAGCAATGAGGTTGTCCAAGGTGCTGAGCTGCTCCTCCACATCTTGCTCCCAGATGGGCATGGTCTCTGGAGAGGCTGACGGGCACAGGAAAGGAAATGCCATGAGATGCACGGGCAGAGCCAGCTTCCCTGCACCCCAAAATAAGCGGGCACAGCTCTGGTGGGAGCAGAAAGCATAGGCTTCAAGGTGGTCCCAAGCCCAAGGAGCTGATAGAGACCTCAACCCAGAGGGTTTGTCCTGCTTCTCAGAGCTCTGCCCTCACTGAGGCCATCAGATTTCTCAGGATTTTAGGGGCAGAACTTTTGAAAACCTCCATCTTCATCTTTAGGGAGCCTGGGTACCATGGTCTGCCTCCTTCAAGCAAACCTATGTCCCCTGCCATCACCCTTCACTGTGTCTTCACACCGTCACACTATTCCATATACTGGGACACCACCAGTGCCCTGCTGATCACTAGAACAAGCTGGGGATGAAATGAACCCTTTATGTGATTAAAATAATTGTCTTTACCAGGGAAGAAGTATTCAGGTGCACTGTCAAGGGAGGTGTTCTTTCCGCCTTTTGAGATATAGGAGACATTGAAGATGGAGGTGCTGGTTCTTTCAGTTTTCTGGCTCTCCTTGTCCCGGGTGATGCTGCTGGATGGGTCCACCCCAAGGAGGAAGCTCTGCTTCCCATACACCAGGCTCAGGGTCCTGTTTGCCTTGAACCAGTAGACGCAGAAGCGGTACCTGCCCAAAGTGGGGGGCAAGCTGTACTTATAGTAAGAGTTTCTCCTGCTTGGCAAAAAGGGCCTTTTTATGATCAGCGCCTGGGCTGTGTTCTCGATGGAAATGGTGGCAGGGCCATGTTCATAGATGACAGAGCTGTTCTGGGTCTGGTTTCGGTCACCGCAGAAGCGGAAATCCTCTTCCCGGCGGCTGCTGGCTCCCACCCCTGCATTTCACAAGCACACAGAGATGCTGGTTCAGCTGCAGGGGTGGCCACCCCCGGCAAACACCGCACCCCTGTGGCAGCTGTTATGCGTGGCACGCCAGACTCTCTGCCACAGACACTCCAACCCCATCCTGGATGGGCTGCGTGATGGTGGCCACCTCCCCAATGTCCCCATGGCCATGCTGGTGGGATTTGCCAGGGCTCCTGGGGCAGCAGGACCTCCCATCTCTTGATGCCACCCTCTCCCAGGTGCCACCACCCATGTCAGCAGAGACGGAGGAGCTCTGTGTCCCCAGAAGGGACAGATGGAGACCATTTCTTTTCCCTGGAAAGGACCCACCCTGCCCTAGAGACCCCACTGGAGGCACATCAGCCCACGAGATGGTTTGCCTCTGTAGAAGCCATAGCTTGCAAACATCCCTCAGTGACCCTCAGCAAAATTTTTGGGGCTGCCAGTTACTTCCAGCAGCCCAAACCTGGCTCACCATCCCAAGGCAGGATGCGGTTGGGGCAGCCTACCTTGGAGGGGAGAGAGAAGGAGCAGGAGGAGGACCTTCATCCCAGCCAGTGCTCTGCTTCGGCTCAGCCTCTGAGGAGAAAGCAGGGCCTGGAGGGGTACAAAGGAAAGGGGCCATGTCAGTACTTGGCTATCACTCATACCATGGGATGGAGAGCAAAGGCTGTGCTAGTGGGACACCAGCCAGTGTCACAGCCAGGTCCCCAGTGCCTCTGCCACCAGGAGGAGCCAGGAGCACTGGGCTGGAAGGATGGGGGCGGCCAGTGGCCCAGTCCCCAGGCTCTCTACTTGGAGAGGGTGCCCCATCAACCCGGCACAGGCACCAACTGTCAACGATCCCACACAGCAGGGGTCCCCTCTTCCGCTCCCTGCTTCACATCTCGGTTTGGGCCTTGGCTTCTTATCGCAAGCGATAGGAACAGAAGGAAACAACAGTTTCCTAATTTGCCAGCCAGAAATTTCACCAGAAAGTAATTTTTAGTTATTTTCTCAGGTGCTTTCAGTTTCTGCAGATTAGCTGAGGAGCTGGGCGCATTGCAAACCACTCTGTCATTTCAGCCTGGCTCACCCCAGTGATGCCAACACAGCAACCGCGGCTGCCAAAACCCCTTCTGCCCTTTGCATCCAGCCGGGACATGTCCTCCACATCCCCTTTCCCCATCCCTTCATCCTGCACTCTGCTCCACTATTCTTTTCTTTGTCTTTATACACAGCCAGGGCTCCTGGGACCTGCACCCAGGTCAGCGCTGAGCACCCCAGGGTGCTACTGCAACCCTGCGCTCCGCCTGGCCACAGCCTTCGCACCCACAGCTTTCCCATCGCATTTTTCGCCCTACACATGCCACAAACTGCACCTCTGGTGCTGCTACAATGTGCTGAGCTTCGCCTCCTCCTCACCCTGCTGTCACCACAGCGATGGGCTGAGGCTGGTGGGACCCCTCCTGCCAGGTCCAGCAAACAGTGAGAGCCCCTCCCAGGGTGGGACAGGGTCAAGGGGGGCTGCCAGACCAGCTGGCACAGCCGAACATTTGCCGATGTCCAAAGCCCCTTTGCCATCACTGCATCTCTCTCCCGTGCCACTCCCAAAGCATTCTTCTCAAAACCCACCGAGGGGCCTAATCCTGTTTAATTTACTGCAAGCGGGTGCCACAGCACCCACCAGCTCAACCTGCAAAGGTTCATGAGCTCTCCCAGGCACCCAAGGCTCATCAGATGGGAAGGCTGGGGGAAAAGCACTTGCTGGAAAACTCCATGTCCCTGTTAAGTTTCTCCCACCAGCACGGATCCAGGGCACAACCCGCGCCAGCACGTGACTGCGGGCACAGCCTGCTCACCGTCCCTCCCTGTCTGCTTCTTACAGCAGCTTATCACTGGAAAACAGGGGCTTCGGGTTGTTAATTAACCTGCTGCCATGGGTATAATTAAGCACAGCACTAACGAGGTTCACCAGCATGGGGTGGGAGGGTACGGCGCAGGCATGACTTGGCAGCAGTGGTTGGATGTGGATGGGGATGGCATCTCAGTGCTTTGCTTCACACTTGGGAATCACATTCATGTATCTGAAAAGCACAGATTCAGGGTGGGAAAATGCCAGTGGCGATGGGAAACACCTGGATCACTCAAAAGCAATAGAGTGGCATGTGAATGTCAACCATGGTGTGATGGCACAGAGCCGGTGTGCTGGGAAGGCATCCCTTCCGGATGGGGAATGCTGAATCCCAACAAGGCATCTGTAGGATCTTACTGGAGCAGTCAGAGGACAGGATCAGCCCCTTTCAGCCGTTACTCAACCGGGACCAGAAATCCCTGTGGGGATGTGGGTGGGGGAGCTGGTATTTCCCCTCCAAGCCCTATATGGTCCCGCTCGCCTCGACGCCGATCACTGCTTCCTGAGCCGAACAATAGCAAGAGAAAATCCCCCGAAAATGGTTTCACAGTGGGGAAAATAGAGTTCCCATCCATGCTGGTGATAAGCAGCACTGAAAGGAGCCAGATGAGCCAAATTCACACCAGGTCTGGATCCTGCTCCATCACCGTCCCATCCCTGGGTGGCAGCGATGCCACACATCCCCACCGCCATGAGGGCATCTCCCCAGTGTCACCCATCTTCAGAAGCCCCACACTGTCATGTTGACCAAGCAGAGACCCACTCTGGCACCAACCCTACTTCCACTCCATCATTCCCACGGCAGGATGTCTTCACCCACTGCCCCAGAATGAGCCTGGGGGCTGAGCTGCTCCAAGTACAATAACACATAGAAAAACTCCTGTTTCAGCCCCAAAATCAGACAAATGATGTAGAAAGAGGTGGTGGGGACACCGCTGGGGCTACCCAGTCTGGAGCAGGCTCCCTTGCCACCAGCACGGAGGGAGGCTTAGCCCTGGGCATCACATTGTGTCCTTCCATCGCATTAAGAGAATACACTGGTGTCAGGAAGAAAAGCCAAAGAATAATATTGTGGCCTCTAAACCTGGAGGCAAATGGGAAAAAAAAAACTAATAACACACCAAAAAAAGCAGCCCAATGTTTACTACCACCTTAGTGCTCTCTGGGTGACTTGCCAGCAGGTATTTAAGCTTCTGGAGGTGGCACGCAGCTTTTGGATGTGACGTTCTTCCCGAGAAGGGAAGATGCTCTGATGTCTCAAACAAACACCGGAAGCAGGGAGATCCAGGGGCTTTTATCTGTTTTCCTTCCAGGTCCGTTAGGAAAATATGCTGACACTCTGTTCCTCAAAATGCTAACAAGCCTGCAGTTCAACACCTATTACCCAGGCAAGGATTCGGGAACCGGATGGGGAAACTGAGGCACAGAGCTGCAAGCCAGGACGGGCTCCCCAAGATGCAAAACAGCTCTGCACAACCGGCTCCCATTGTAGGGACCACAGATGATGTGCTGTGGGGCTGGAGCTGGCCAAGGAGGTGGGGACCCTGGCGGGGACCCCCCCGCAAAGAGGATGCCCCAGTGTCAGTCACTCGGGTGCTTCACAAAGTGTCCTTGTGCTTGGCCAGCGGCCCGTGTCCACCCGTTATTCACAGCATCGGCATGTGAGCCTTTCCCGTCACCGGTGGGCAGCAGGGTCTGACCCAGCACGTTTGTTAATGCCTGAGGAGCTGAGCGGCAGCTGCACCGCGCCAGCCTCCCGACTGTGCCAAGCCTGTGACGCAGGATCAGCGCTTTCTGGACCCCGGGGTCGTACACAACACCCAGCACCCCTGAACTGAGTTTTGCCGACAAGCAAAACAAAAGACAAAACCAGACCTGATAAAGATTCCCATGGGAGCGGCACAGCCCCCGGCCAGATCCGTCCTTTGCCAGCCGCTGGGAACCATCCCTTCCCGAGCGCGTGCGGGGAGAGCAGAGGGGAGGCTGGCACAGGCAGTCCACCAGCGTCTGAGGCTCTCAAGACGGAGGTTGTGCTTAAAGCTGGCTCATAGCATTCAAAATTTTTTAAAAAAATCTATTTTCTAAAAAACACCACAGACAGAAATATCACAGCGAAGTAAATCGGAGCTTCCTCCAGTGCCTGGGCAACGCGGCACCTGGCTTGGTGGCATGCAAAGGCTGCGGCTTCAGCAGAGGCCACAACTGGTCTGTGAAGGACTAGGTACACCTGTCAAATTGGGGCATGGCTGTGAAATGGAAACAAATGCAGGTTGTCCTCCCCCTGGCACCCCACGCCACATCACCAGCCTCAGTGGGTACAGACAGACATCCCTACAATGCACTCCCATCACTCAACCTTCTTTGGAAGAAATCCCTTGGCCTCCTCCTGCGGCTCAGCTTCTACCTTATCTCCACCCAAACCACCCCTCTGGGGTTTTAAATGGCTTCCAAAACACCCCATCCTCTCCCAGGTCTCGTCCCCTCCACATGAGTAAGGTTCCCATCTCCTGCCTGCACCACGGGTGCTGGGGAAGGGAACTACATGGCAGCCCAGGATCACCCCAAATCAGGCTCCCAGGTATTTGGCACAGGAAGGGACCAACCTGGAGCTCAGTGAGGGTGAACTGGGTCCCAGCGGGCTTTTCTGGCTGCAGAAAAGCCAAGCACAGCCGGGGCAAAGGCTGTGGCACCCAAGGAGGCCACGGGTCCCCCTCAGATCCTTGCCAAACCCCAGCTGTCAGCAAGCTGGTGGGAAAGGAGTCGGCGGGTGGGAGCCCTCCCAAAAAACAGGCGCTCACAGGCTGCTGCCCAGCTGGTACGGTGCTGTCATGCCAGGAGCCACCCAGTGCCCTGCCTGCCAACCCCACAGCACCGCGTCCCTCCAACACCCACGGGTGCCACTGCAAGATGCGGGGACACCCAGCCCCTGGGGTCCCTGTCCCAGCAGCATCCAGTTGCTTGCAAACCTGTTGCTCTGTGAATAGCAGCCCCCGGGTGGTGGGATTAGGACCTGGACTGCAACCAAGTATGCTGCATTTTTAGGACCCTGATTAATTGACGTGGGAGCCGCAAACGCAGCAAGAGGCACAGCAAAACCCACTGTGGCTGCGGGCCTGGGCTTAAAGGATTTGTGTGACCCCCCCACATCTCCAAAACACTCCTGGCTCCCTGCTGGCAGTGGATCTTGGAGGGGGGTCACTGCAGCCCTCAGACCGTGAAACGAGCTTGGCTGCCTTCCCGCCTCAACAGCCCCGCTGCCAGGAGGTTATTCCAGGAGACTTCATTTCAATTCTCCAGCTGGCCTCACTGGGTTTTGCTGGTCCCCACTGGAGGGGCAGTTCAGGCAGGGAGCACCCCGAGCATCCCGCACCCCGCAGCGGCATGCTAGGACCCGTAGGAGCGAGTTGAGATGTTACAGGAGGAATTCCCTCCAACAGGCATTTTTAGGGGAAGGAGATCACCCTGTCGAGACACGCCG